TAATATCAACATTGCATTTTATGCACATGTAATTCTTACACCGCTAGTCAGCTAGATTCATATCAGGCTTTTTCTTACTTTCAATTCTGCATGGACATTATAGCGTTAAAGTTTTGCTAAAATATTGTTACTCTGTCATAGGTGAAAAAAAATTTTATTATACTTTTTATACATTGTTTTATGCAGGGATTGACATAACTGGTACATAAGTACGCATTCACCTTAAATCGATAAGTGCGGCAATCAATTGTTGTAGTAGCATGAATGCATACCTATTTTATGTGCATTTGTGCCGATATGACAAGAAATTATCGTGCATTTTAACCTCTCCTGCAAATGAAGTATGAATTAGCATATGAAGGTTAAAATGCACGAGTACTCTGTGAATGAACGTGACACTCTATATTCAACTTGTTTGTTGAAACAAAATCTTGGTCTGAATTTTTACTTTCCAAAACTGAACTTTCTACCTTTGCTAATGACTAAAACTCATACAAGTCCTGTCCATTGCATACGTTATTTCCTTTTCTACTCCATCATGGAGACCCGCTGTATTTGGTGGTCCTTGATGTCTGGCTTTTGCTTTGTTTTGGTGCATTTAAAATGTCTGCCCCTGACATGCAGTACAGAGATTTTTCATAGCAGAATATTACATTCCTGTCTGAGATTACTGTAAATTCATCTCTTATCCTTCCTGTCCTAAGCACACTCTGCTTGCTAGCATTTTCAGTCTTCTGCATCCTTCACCTTGTTCTTAATGCTTAGTATTGCAAATGTGTTTCTCTTCTAGATGACTTGTATGAGATCCTGTCTAGCCTCCCAGAGAGTGTAGTTTACTCATGCCAGCCCTGTAGCCACAGCCAGCCCAGCAACTGGAGGGAGCTGCTGCACATGGAGCTGAAGGCTGGTGTGGAGAAAGTGCTGGCCTGCCTGCTCACCTCCTCGCTAACCCAACACTTGGTCAGCTGCAGTGAGGTATGCCATCTGCTTTCATACTACTGTAGGCACTGACAGTTTGCTCATTGTTGCAAGTGTTCATTTGTAAAGCTATGAAATTCTATATCATTTTCCAGAGATGCATGTTGTTTTTAACATTTTAATTTCACTATGCCTCTACTCATCTACTCATTATCAGTAGGGAAATGACCTGACTAATGACTTGAGGGTCAGCCAGTTCAGTTTGACCTGGGTGACTTTCATGGAAGATCTCCTACCTTGATGGTGTCATGACAACAAATCTTTCCTTGAATGTCACTAAGACAAAAGAAATCATTATTGATTTTAGAAAGAACAGAGCAAATCATATGCCAATGTCAGCAGGACATCTTTTGAGATTGTCAATAAATTTTAGATACCTCGGTATACACAGTACGGATACACTTGCATGGTCCCTTAATACTAAATGGTAGGGGTGCATGATTCAGAAAATCTCACGATTCGATTCCGATTCTTGTGCTCACGATTCTATTCAAAATCGATTCACAATTCATAAACGTTTCATGATTCAATACATAGATGAATTTGTTTCCAGAATGCTGTTTTGAGTTACTTTTCCATTTGACTGTGGCCGATCAACAAAAAAAAATCACATTGAATCAAATGTAGTTTACTGGTACTCAATCTGAACTTTATGGTAATTTATGGTAAAATGTCTTAATAGAAAAATAAAACTTTTACAAATATTAAACTGCAAAATCCAAAACTTTAAACTTAATGCATTATAACAATACATTCATTCAATAAATAAAATTAAACAAGCTGGTACATTTAAAGTGCTCAAATTCAAATAAACAAAAATGCTACTACATTTAGCTGTAAAGTGCTGTAACAACTGAAATGACATTTTTAAAATGTGAATTGGGAACATTTCTTTTTCCTAAACTGCTACTGATTCAGCAAACAAGTTTTTTTTTTTTTTTTTTTTTTACTGTGACATCTGCAATCTAATCAACAACCTATCGGAACTTAGATAAACATTCAGGTTTCTGTGTGTATGTGTGAGAGTGTTACTGTTCGTCTGCGTCTTTTACCTCTGGGTGATGCCGTGTTGTGAGTCCGTATGTTTGTAGTGTTCCCAAAATACTTTGCTTTGCAGTGCCTGCATATCACATGTCTTATTGAGGTCCTTTTTCCCATCTAAATTGTAAAAGCCGAAATGTGCCTAAACACTTGCCTTAAATGAAAATGGGGCAGGCTGAATCGCTTTTTTCATAACATGATCCATCGTTTGCATACAGTCCCTTTATTATGCATACTGACTACATTTCCTTCATGCTCACGTTAAGGTCTGTCTGGCCAGATTTTGGCATTGCGCCATCTATAGGATCAGCGAGCTGAACTCATGTCAGGGAAAGAGTAAACTAGTGAATTAGTTGCAAAATATGATTGTTTGGAATGCATGAATCGTTTTTGAATCAGCAGAGAGAATTGCTATTCAATTAAAAAAAATTTTGTGCACTTCTACAAAATACATTCTCATGAAAGCTCAGCAGCTTTCTAAGGTGCCTCAAAAGTTTTGGCATGGGCACCAAAGCTGCACAATAAAGTATACTCTCGTGCTCTATTACAGTATGGTTTGTCAGCCTAGCTGTACAAGACTATACAATGTTACAGAATACTGTGAAAACAGCCAGAATTATTGGAACAGAACTACCACAACTCCATGATATCTAAACCTTCTGCTGTAGAAAGTAAGTCACAAATATTATTCAGGACACCAGACACCCTGCTCATGCTTTGTTCTCACCCATTCAATCCAGGAAACTTTACAAGTGTATTAAGTCATGTACGGCATGTCTGAGAAACAGCTTCTTCCCCCAAGCAGTGAGATTGCAAAACAATCAGCACCACCACAGATCAAGTACCTCATTGCTATAATGAGTTCATGTACCTTATTGTAGGACTAACTATATTAGACTTTATTTGGAAATATGTTTTATTGTGTGGTTTTCATTGTAACCATGGTACAGTATTTATCTAATGTATTTTTGTAATTACTGGTGCACAATTATCATAAAAGCAAGAAATTAGCTGCACTTTAAAGCAATGTTCTCCATCTCTCCAACTTAATGTTGCATGCTGTACCACAATGAACTGCACAATATGCTTGACATGTTTTATTTCATTTTAGAGTTATTAGCCCACTTATTTATTCCAGTGCACACTGAATGGAAATTATATTGAGTAATAATTTATTATATGTATTTTCTACGTATTTTTGTAATTACTGGTGCACTGGATGGGTAATCTGAGGCTTTTGAATCTTAGAGGTTATTTTATTTCTCTTAAGGTAAGGTAGAGCGAGAGCTTAAACTTGTATTTCATTGTATATTTTTATACATCTGACAAACTTGAACGTTTCAGGAAAGGTATTCCATTGAGATTTACTGTGCAGCAGGTAAATTCAGGCTGTGTCTCTTGTTAAATCTCCTTGTCCTGCAGTGCACAGCATTGACTGACTTGGAGTGTTGGAGAGAGGAACATCCAGCTTGTGATCTTCGTGCCATTGGCAGAAAGTTTGACAAAGGGCTCTACACTACACTGGTATTTTTCGTCTGTTCTTTCTATTCTATTTCAAATAGAAATCTTAGTTTTACAAATGTATGATTACAGACAGGTCTTCGTGCCCCTTTCCTTCCGTTAGAAATTATTCCATGAGGATGTGGCCCTAGTGATCCAGAAAAAGCTGGCAGAAGAGGCAGAAGCGCTTCCTGAAGAGCAGAGGCCTAGTGCTCTAGCCAGGTCCTACTATTTGAAGGTAAGCTGTTAACAGCATGGAGTTTTTTTCACAGACAAAATCAAAAGATTTCCATAGTCATGATTTTGCAAAGCTGGGGGATCTTGCAGGATCACTGTTTGTTGCTGGAGAGAGCTCACCTATTAGTTGTTGACAATGTCCATGTCAGTATGTGGCTGAGCCAGAGTCCTGCACCAGGTTGGGTACCCACAGATAGTTGCTGAAATGGGCGGATTTTAATGTTCTGGAATTTTACGGGTGGGTATGCGGGCGGGTAATTCATTACACATGGGCGGGTAGCAGGTCAATCAAAACAGTATTGTAGCCTGCAAAAATGACATATAAGCGAAAATATCTACGTATTAGACTATCCATGTACAAGCTTTCATACATCATTTACATCATCGCAGTGTGTTTAGTATGTCGGGGGTACCTTATGGTGCTTTCGATTATTTCTCTCCAAGTCGGAACTCGGATGAAAACGGCACGAAAAACATCACTTCCCGTCGGAAACATGCCTCTTTTATGACGTTGATGTCGGACAAGATTTTGTTGTCCGAGTTGCCCCTGTGACGTAATTTCAACATGGCGGCTTACACACTCAACAGTAATTCTATTTTATAAATCTTTAAAAATGTTTATTTTGTTAAATGTATTAAGTTATAAATGTAACTGCATGTGTTCGATTTAGAAAATACCATATCTTGACCGTAAACAGTATCACATCATGCAATATCAGATTTTTACCAGACTTGTTAGTGTCTTTGGTTTGTTTGTAGTTTGCTTGCCTCTTGAAAAAAGAATATTGCTATGAATGTGCTAAAATATTTTATAAAGCTTTTAATGTGGTTTGGCTAGTTCGTGTTTCTTGTTTGTCTCTCGGAAAAAATTCTCACTCCAAATCTGCTAAAATGTAAAGCAACAACAACACACAGCAGTGTGTTCATGGAGGCAGCCATGTTTGTTCCAAGATGTGGTAGCTGGAACGGGAGATTGTCGGACGTGATGTCACTCAACTCGGAATTTCCAAGTTCCGAGAGAAAAATGAATGCACCTTTAGATAACAGCCTCAACAAACATTCACATACATGTCTGAATCCTTGCTGAAGCGTATCGTCGTGTTCTCTCTTTCACACTTGTCACAGTATGGACAGCTTAGATCTATCTGATTTGATTTTGTGTTAAACAGACTTTTTCGTTTCAATTCAAAACTCATGTAGGCCTAGCGCTTGTCACGTTGAGAGGTGCATAGAAAAAATAATTGTGTGTAATTTATCACGGGTACGGGCGGGTAACGTGCACAATGTTAACGGGCCTGGGCGGGTGTGGATTTGCCTTTGAAATAATCACGGCTGCATGGGCGGGTGTGGTGCTGTACTGTGCGGGTGCGGGCGGGTGCAGGTCTCCAAAAGTGGACCCGTGCAGGACTCTGGGCTGAGCCAAAACAAAGGGCCTATGATAATATTAAACATGGTTTTGTAATATTAAGCATTATTTTATGGCTTTTTCTGGACTTTCTCAGTAAATCTTTCTTCCACTAGCCTTTTTTGTTATAATTCTACTCATAGAGGGTGGATAAGATGTTGTTATACAGTCTTTGGTTCGACCACTGACTTCCTGCTACTTTTCAAATAGTCAGTGACCGATCGATGGTTGTTTGTAGGGGTGGGAATTGCCACAGAGGGGGCAATACAATACGATCACGATATTTGAGGCACAATGCAATATTATTGAGATTATTACATTTTACGATACAGCAAGTATTGTGATTCGATTTCACGGTACATTGAAATGTATTTCTTGCTTATGTAATTAAATGCATTACAAGTAATAAGAAAAATGAAATACAGCTCACTTAATCTTACTTGAATCTTCCTATTCTATGAACAAAATCATTCACTACTTTTGGTGAATAATACACAATTGCAGTCCTTCATTTGTACATACATAAAATGAACACAGCACTATAACAAGTTCCCTTCAAACCCTGAACCCAATGCAACAACAGAAGCACAAGTCAATGCAGTGAATACAGGACCATGGTGATTAATAATGGTAATGAAAGGACACAGCATGATGAGAAAAAGCAGATATATGGAACCATACTGATTAATAATGGAAATGATTAGTTTCATTTTCTGTTTCAATATTGTTTTTGTTCAAATGCAGGTATGGACCACTAAATAATCTGAAGCATTTAATGCTTTTCTAATAAGTGTTAGCGTGTGTTTTGTCCTTATCAGCAAATCTGTTTAAATGGAGTTTTGAAGTGCCACATAAACTAATGATGAAGAAAATATGAATGTTGGAGAAGTAAGTACAAGGGTTTCTATTACCTCTGAACAGCAATAACTACATTAAAGAATTTAAAAAATACAAAGTTTTCACAAAAATCACAATTGCTTATAATAAATGTAGATGTTGGCTGGGACTAGGTACTGAACTTCAGTACTTTTGTGGTATCGAATGAAATGCTCCGATCCTATTGAGGATCGAAAAATTAATTTTCATTTGGTGCCAAATTCTGATACCCAAACAGTAAATCTCAGTGTTTGTGAGTTTAAGTATGCTTAACTCTCTGGGGTCTAGGGTTAGGGAACACACGTTCACTGACTGGGGTTTGATCACACATTTCTTTCAATATCATAAACTTAATTCATGGCAAATAAATTATTTCTTACATATTTGTTTTGCCATTACACTCATCTTAATTTGAATGTACTTTGTAAATATATCAGATTTATGTTGTTTATAATTTGACATCAAAGTATAGACATTGCAAAATGCAGTTTGGAAAACTTGCAGAAACATTATAAAAGTACATGGTAAGCAATGGTGCCAATTTGTTTTGATCCCAGATCACTAAAGTCTTGGATACATGAAGATGACTAAATGGTGTAGTTGCAACATTCTGTTGGATAAATAAATAAGAAAAAGCTAACTCAAGTCACTATTTCTGGGCCCCTTTCATTGAATAGGTAGCAATTTTCATGTGTATGCACGAGCCATTCACACTTGGCCACATCCCAACCCCCCTTTTATGGTGCTGATGGGGATGTATCTGGATAGTGTTTCACCGTTGTGGTCAGCAAATTACCATGTGAATGCGATTTGAATACGCAGTAATGTGGGTATTTAGAATGCGAATAGCGATCTTCAGGTGAGGGCGGCACTACACACCCCCGATGCGGGTAAAACAAAGTAAGGTGACATGGTTTAGGTTTTTGCCGATTTAACCTAATTTTAAAAACTTTAATGCTTCCGACAATGGACGTTTTGAAAAGAAGACAGATTACGGATTTAGTCAGCTTTTTTCATGTTTCTACAATAAGATTTCAGAGAGTTATGAACTGAAATACAAGAGAAAGATATGCGGCATCATTGTCTACCCCAGAGGGTTAAGTCGCTGATGATTCACTGTCTAATGCAGTGATTACCAAACTTTCTCTGCAGGGCCCCCCTTTTCTAGATAGGAACATTATTGAGCCCCCCCATTCAAACTACACAGGTTCAGATTCAAACTTTATTTGAAATACAACTCCCTTTTCTAATTGAGCGAAACAAATGCAATTACAAAATACAAATTTCACCACTGTGGGAGAAAAAAGAGCAATCATTTAAAAATAAAAGTCTAGCATAAGTTTGAAATTATGCAAATGCAGATTTAACATTCCTGTTAATATTCATTGGAGTACACAAATTAAAGTTTGTCTTATGTTTACCGCTTTTTGTTTTTAATGATAACCGCAGGTAGGGCTAGACATAAGGATTTAGGAGGGCACAGCCACTTTGGCCTTGGCTATTCATATTTTTTCTAGGGCACAAGGCCATTAAGCCTGGGCACA